GCTTTGGCTGGTTCTTTAGTCAGCTTCTTCCTCTGATTCCTCTTCTTCAGCAGTTTCTAGCCAGGTTAGCCACTGATTCACCTGTAAATTAAATTAGCAATTTAACAAAATATGTAGTAGTTAGGAAGAAAAACATATACCCTAAAATGATTAAAAAACCCCAAACAAATCAAACCAAACAATAAGCCCCAAAAAACCCAAAATAACTTGGTTCCTTCAGTATTTCACCAGTTTGAGAAAAATATTTGATTCACAGGTAGTTTCTGACCACTTATTTAAGTCTTTTAAGAAAAGATACTACTCCAGTTACAGTACAGAATCATTTTAATCAAGAGAAGCTACTCCCAGATTTTACTGTTGGCAGTACAGGGGTGGGGTAGGGATATTTTTTTTACAAGTTGCTGTCTACTTTCACTGCAGAATGAACAGATCAGATTCTCTGAGGTTCATGTTCAAAAAAATTGGCATGGAGTCTTAACAATTAAAATGTTATAGAGATTACTGTTTCTCAAAGTTTAACCCTCTGGAGTACTAAGTCTGAATGTGCACCACAAATCACTCAACTCTCAGGGATCAGGCCTAAAACCTACTCTTGAGTTGATGATTTCTGTGAATCACAATCTATTAGCAAACTGCTGGATTTAGATGTGCATATACAAGTTCACTTACAACCAAAATAGGAGGAAATCAAAGCTCCTTTGTACTGATGTGCCCCCACTTAAGTCAATTAGCATGAAAAACACAAGTCAATAGCTTTGTTCCTAAAAATTTTTCTAGTTACCACTAAGATGGAAGAAATGACTTAATCTCATAGCTTTGCTGCTAGTCGGTTTAACAGATACAGAAAATTTATAAAAACTAAAATTTACCTGGAACAAAGCCTTGCCTTTCCCCGGAAACTCTTGGGTTATATCTTCTTTCCAAGCCAAAAAAGCTTCTTCTTCAATAATTTCCATGTCATAAAAGTAAACAAAAAAGCGAAGTAACATGCCTAAGAAAGGAAACAGAATCAGATTACTTAACAGGCTGTTTAAAAATAATTCAGAAAGTGCCATTCTTCTAATATTGGATTGCTCACCTTTTGGGAAGTTGCTGTTGAAACAGTGGACCTGTAGAGCATACAGGGCACTGACTTGTAGATCAACATGATCATGTAGGAATTTCTGCATTACTGGCTTGAAAGAAAGCAGCAGTTGTTTTTCCTGCTCTACTTGTTCTTTGGAAGCAGTAGAGGAAGAATCTGTTTCATCACTGGGTGGGTTTACTTCACTAGAAATATACTGTAAGAAGCTGAAGAGAAAAAGGACTCCTTAAGACCCAGAAGTAAAGACATCGTCACGTTTTACTTTTCTAGTAAATAAAATTAAAAACCTCTATAGTGTATGTAGAAAACCATAGCTTTAACTTCTTACCTGGTCATTAGAATGTTCACAAATCCTTTATCTACATGAAGTTTGGGAGAAATATTATCTTTAATCCATTTGTATATGGTTTGAGGGGATGGATCCAGCTTTATTTGCTTTAATAGTTCTTTCTCTAGTTTGAGGAGTGGGAATAAGAAACTCAGTCCCTTTCCTTCCAGAATCTCCAGCATACGGTCTTTATTCTGATCAATTTCTGGGGAGGAAAAAAGGACAAAAGTCATTTGCATCATCCTTTTCTCCCCCAACTTGGAGTGCTTAGAACAACCAAACAGCTGAAACACCAGTAAACGAATCAAATAAAAATGATCATAAACATCTATTCATAATAAGCTCCATCTGTGATAAAGTTAATCTTATCTGGACCAAAAAACCAAACCCCAGACAGACAGACCACATGTGATGTATAAAACACAACCAAAGATACCATAAATTCTAACACAAACCCATTCTCCCAAACAGTCTCTCACCTGGAAGCATCTTCTGCATATTGACCTTGCTTTGTTGAAAAAGTTCTGTTAACCATTCTCGATCTTGTAATTTAGCTAATTGCTGAAGGCAAAGTAAGAAGAGAGGAAAATGGGTGCCACTTTCCAGTGGTTGAGCTAGTTCTGAAATGCTCACCAGCTCTGAAATGATGGCACGAGCTGCAAACTGTGCTAAATAAGATTTCACCAAGGGGATGTCAACCTCCAGTTTGGGGCACTGGTCCAATACGTTCAGGAAAGCCTTAGAAGGAATACAAAATCACAAAGTTAATGGTTGTCAAATGTGCACACTAGAGATCTCATCAGAAAAATGTAAAAGACGTCTACCTGCATGAAGTTGTCACTTGTGGCTATTCCTTCCTGTTTGAGTAAACTGATCAAAGAACTTGCTTTTTCTTTATCTTCATCACTTCTATCTAGTGACAGGAGGATTACTTTGCTTAACATCTCTGGAAGAAAGTGTTTAGGGGCCCTCATTTCCCTTACACCATTGACAGCCTCATTTGCATTTCCACTATTCAGATACTCAGTCACAACAGTTTCCTGGAAGGGGGGGAGACAAAAACAAAACACAAATGAAACTCCACAATTATTTTTGTTTTTTCTTTGTTCCAAATGTACTTTGTGGACTAGGGAATATTTACAGAATTGCATGAAACTTACAGTTAATTTAAGTAGTTCTTCCTTTGATGGTGGTGGCTTTTTGCTGGTCTTGGCAGGCTTTTCCTGGATAAGTGGTGGATTAGTTTTGAGACCAAGCTGAGGTGTCTAAAAAAAGAGCAATGTAACAAATAAATACAAGGAGCCTGAAGGAAAAAATAAAGCCCATCTTTGGACAGCATTAGAAAAGGCCAAGAACACAGAAGACACTGTCATACTAGAACTCCTACCTGTCCCAGAGGTGGTGTTTGAGTGCGTGGTGGTTGTGCACTAGGAGGAATCATAGTTATCTGGGGCTGAAGCTTTGGCACTTGATTTTTATTCATTAAGAAAGATTGAGCAGGCCTCAGGCTAATCTGGAATGAAAAACAGGTATCAAAGTTAGCAACATGCAATTGGCTACAAATTTAACACTCCAAGTTCCTAAAATTAATTTAAAATACACAATACAATCGAAGGTAGAAAGGCAAATATCTCTAGGAACGGTAATGTTTATTACATGCCAGGTTTAATTTCTGACAAAATGTCTCCTAGGTTAACAAAACTATTAAAAACCAGCAAGTGAAAAGTGTAGAAAGGATCTTGCTTTACTCTTCTCAGTTACCCCACTTACTGGAAAACCAAGAAAACCATTTTCCTTGCTCTATCTAAAGATTTTGAGACTTGCCCTCATATCTCATAATCTTCGCTCACAGGACGCTGGACAGCCAAAGAAAGAAAAATAGGGAGAAAAAAAAAGAGAGAAAACGAAAGAAAGAAAAGAGAGAAGACCAAGAACTCCAGCATATGTCCTCTTAATGCGTCTCTTTTTATAATCATCGGGCAATATTTTCTGAATTGACAAACTACAATATGCAAATAACATAGGCAAATGTACCTCATCTGCATTAAGCTGTCCTTTCTTAGAAAACCGAGGTGGCATATCCTTCGACTGTCCTTGTAGCTGGGATAAGAGTCCCTGACTCTGGTTATGGTAGAGCTGGCTTAGCCCCTATTTCAGAAAGGGAGAAAGAAAGTCTAGATAAAAAGGGGTCCATAAATTTATGGTAATTAAGTACCAGACGGATGATGAGTCAAGTTCCAAGGAAAGCATAACTGACTGTGCCCAGAAAGAGTCAAAGAGTGAACAAGGAAGAGTAATACTAACCTGACTGTCAAAGTCTTGTGATTTACTAATACTTTTCTAATCTTAAGAATAAACATTTAATCCAGTTTGAAATATCTGTCACAGATGTTACTTGGGTTTAAACACAACTATTACAACAGTATTTTAATACTTAACACTTGTAGCCTGTGCAACTAAGTATATTCTTACCTGGCTTTTCATAAACTTGCCTCCCATCTCTCCAAACTGCGATTGTGAGGGAGGCATGATGTGTCCCCCATGGCCATTGAAGAGTTGACTTGAACGATGACGCCCCATGGTGGGTGAAAATCTATCCTGGATAACTCCTGGACCAGTACCAATTCCGCTACCTTAAAACACACACAGACAACACTTACAACTCTACTTCCATGATAATGTAAAATAATCTTACAGTTTAGTCAAAAGGCAGACTTGTTGAAAATTACCTGGCATTTGTCCAAACATATCAGCAAGTCCTCCAAGTGGGTCCCTATCCATTTTCATTCTAGGTGGCATGAACGGTCCCTCCAGAAAGAAGTCACTTCTCATCCCTTGAGCCATAGGAGCAGGAATAAACACTCCTAGATCCTTTAAAAAGAAAATAAGCACTTGTTTTTGGACATTGTTAAAACTAAAAATTACACACCACTGGTAAGTTAATGCAAGACAAGTCAAAGAGTCTTATTTACGTTATTTTGGTGTCTTCTGTCCAAATGATAAACATTTAACTCCACCACTAAGAGACAGTATCAAATATTTATCTACAAGTGTTTGCAAGATCCCCTATTGTAAAAATCTTTAAATTCCACTGCCTAAACAGGTAAAGGGGAAAAAAAACCAAAAAACAAACCCACCACCAAAAAACCCAAAACAAACAAAAACAAACCCTCCCCCCAAAAAACAACAACCAAAAAACACCTAAATTTCTTACTTTTACCGCATCTTGACGGATTTGATTGATCGTCTTTGGTCCATTGTCAAGAAAAGCCTTGCGAGGAACCCAGTGGTGTTCTCGCAACTCTACGGTATCCTTTAATTTAAAAACAAAGTTTAATATTCTCAAAGAAGAAGTTGGACCAAAAATATAGTTTTAAGCAAAATCATCTTACCTGCAGCAGGAAACGAATCCTTGCTGGCAATTCCTTACTTAACATCAAGGAGCACATTCGGGCAAAGTACTGATCCATTAAGGACTGCACAAAACATAATCAGAAGAAATCTCAAAATTGTGTAGGTGCTCATTAAAGCTTTACCCACCAGATTATAATGAATCTTTACACTACCACAAAAATACGTCCAAATAAAAATTAAGACTGCAGCACTTTCGTGAAACAACATACGCACCTTGGCTCGTTCGTGGTCTAATCTAGGTCCCACTGTCCTCATTATCTGACAGAGGCACTCCAAATCCTCTCCCATATCTTTGAGTTGGACTCTCTTCTTCTTTTCCAAAAGCTACAAAATAAAAGCCACATGTTGATAGAAATCTTAACTGTTCCCAGTTTAGAAGTTTCCCAAACATTGCATGACACATTTATAAGTCCTACCATGTACTGCTCACAACACTGAAATGCATTTTCTCTAAGTGCCAGATTTGCTATCTAAAACATGGCCTGGTGGATAAGAAGTTGTGCTGCCAACCCACCAGCTATTTGGATAAAAAAAAGATGGGCTATCTCCTATGTGATTAATAACCTCTGAAAACCTGCTGGAAGGACAGTTATATAATGGTTTTGATTTGACAGTCCATTTTGACCACCGGGTACCTAATAACTGTGTACTGTTCCACAACATTTAAGTACGCTTTCTTCAAGAGTCAAATTTGATAGCTCTACACTATCTTTCTCAGTTGACAGAAAGAATTAAACTCCCAAAACTAATGTACCCAAATATAGTAAATCTAAATTCTCAGTCATACTTACTGTTTTGATGCACTTATGAAGGATAGATTCATGAATAAGATCAAGCTTGCCAAGTTCTCCAATGAATTTGATGTTCCCCAACATCTTGATCTTAGCAATGGCTCTCTGTTCCTCCTCCTCTGGGAGGAGGGGATTTTCACGCTTATCATAGACTGGGGAGAAAAAAAGGAAAAAGTCAACATTCACAATTAAGTGGATCATACACGGTTATTAGCTGCTATTAAATTAGCTCTGACTCATGGTGACCTTATATATAAATGAACAAAGTACTGGTTGGCCCTATGTCATCTACCTCTGGTGTGTTTAGTCTGTTGTTACAATCTTCTAACATCACTGTTGTCAAGCAGAAAATCAGAGCTAATACTCTCCCATTGGGTTTTTTGAGGCTCTAAACTTTACAGAAGATTCTCCCATCTTCCTCCTGAAGAGTGGCTAGTGGGTTCAAAGAACTGCCTTTTTAGTTACTGGCTTAACATGTTCATCACTACATCACCAGGATTCTACTACTATTTGTTTTCAAATGTAATTCTTACCATCAACATTTCTGGTTCGGTTTTCAAATTCATCTTGTAATTTTGAAATTAGGAGGCGTCTGAATGTCTACCAGAAATAAAAAAAAAAAAAAAAGACATTTAGTGGTTTTCTTAATGAAATCTTTCAAATCAACATAAACCAACAGACAACTTACTGTGCTTTGCTTCTGTCCTGGTTGACCCTCTGCTGCTGGGCCATCAAAGTTTGGTGCATCTTCTGCCAATCGCAGACATAGCTGAGCATACAATGAGCTATACTTTGGCTCTTCTAAGGCTTTGTCCACAATCTACAGAAAATAGATTAACCACACATTCTTTCTGAGAATCCTCCTTTACAACTTCTCACACTTCATTTAAAATTTGGAAATGAAAATGTAACATGTGAAATGCTTAGCACACTGTCCAATTATAGAGATAACACACTAGTGACATCCTTCCCCCAGATGCTCTTGGATACTTAAATTTCAGCAATTAAACGATTTCCAAGACTCAGTTTTCCACAGAAAGAGGTAAAATAAATGATGGCTCATAATTGAGAATCTACCTCAAGTCTAACAGTGAAAATGTGTATGTTAGAATGCTAATAATACATGAATTTAGCCACATCTTAGACTTTTTGTGTTTTTAAAAGAAAAAAGAGCTAACACTTACCAGCAGTATGACCCCTTTAAGGATGAGTTTAGACTCTACACCCACATTGAGGAGCTCAAGGCATAGCTTGTCAAACTTTTCAGGAGTAAGCTTATTTAGTATGCTGAGGGAGAAAAGAATCACATATAAGTACCAGCAATATACAAAAAAATTATTTGGAAAGGAAAAGGCTTTTATGCTACATTAATCCACCCCCAACACCTCTCTTTAATACATTTCTTCTTATCCACCTATCCAAAAGCCTCAGATTTTGAAACCTCTTAAGAGTATTTATGTACGTATACTAGATTGGGAAGGTTAAGGTGAGGTCTGTTTAATAAAAACTTTTCTTGTTTTCTCAGATTACAAAAACCTCATCAGCAAAGATAAAATTAGTATCATTAAATTGCCTGATTCACTAGATTACACAAGTGAAAATGCCATCATAATTGGTTTTTGGATTTTAATCTAACAGTTTAAAGCATAGATTCTAAACTTATATGCTGCATTTTAATTTAAAATAATTTTTACGATAAAGCCAACATTAACTTTCATGACAAACTCTTTAGCATTAACTTCTAAAATTCTCAAAGTAAGCTAACCTAGTATTCTTCCTTCTTTCAGTGAAAAGCACAAAACAGACTGATGAACTTACCCTCTTACTTTCCTGAAGATTGCATCATGTCGTTCTTTTTCATTTGCGGAGTTGTTTGCTGCGGAGTTGTCATCTCGTCTAGTGCTTCGTGCAGGAATCCATTTCTGAGCGTTTTGCCCTGGGGTTTTCCCCAGGAACTCGCTAATTAATAAGATTAAAGAAATTACAATTAGGAACACGGAAATTATAGCATCCAGTCACACAACAAATGTTTCACTGTTAAAGATCACAACTACACTACTCTTGAGACCAGTGTTTCTTTAACCATGAGACTCCGCTGAAGGGCTTGTTTAAACAATCCTGGGCCCGTCTCCAGAGTTCCTGATTTAGTAAATCTAGGGTGGAACCTAAGAATCTGCTTTGCTAGTAAATTCCCAGGAAATGACCCAGTAGTATGACCCCTTTAAGGATGAGTTTAGAGTCTACAGCCACATTGACGGGATTCTGGTCCAAGACACACACCTTGGAACCAACCAACAGTGTAAAATTTTCAAGATTATGACCACATTCCACTGACATGTTTTCAACAGTCTGAGGGTCTTAAAACTAAAACGACTTGTTAAGAAACAATTAAGAGTTAATTATAAAACAACTGATTGTTCTAAATTTAGGTTATTAAGCAGAAGCCATGCCTCACGACAATATCAATATTGTTGCGCTCAAGATCTGTCTAAATGTGTCATTTAAAGAATTCTTTCCCCCAACTTATGATACCTGTTGCCAGCAGTCTTGGGATAGTGCTGAGGTCCACCCCTACTTCCTCCTCCGTCCGAAGAAGCACTATTTAAAAGCATCAAAAAATTAGTTCTTACTCAAAAGAAGTATTATTATGTACTATACCAACTACACCTAAAAGACTAAATTTTGACCTAATGGGCAAGTCAAACTGTAGAACGGATTAGTTTATTCAGATGGAAACTACAGAAGACAACGTGTAAAAATTAAGTATTTCTTTCGATGTACATGGCATGTTATAAATTAAACCTCTAACAAAGTAAAAATTATGCAGAGTAACTGACTTGTGTCTTTATCACTGATTCTCAAAAACCCGTCACACACACACACACACACACACACACACACACACACACACACACACACAGCCCCCGAGTCCGCACGCATACCTGAAACGAGAAGCACCCCCTTCTGCAATCGCACTCTCCACTTTGGCGGCTTGACAACGAAGAATCTTCAAAAGAATAATATTAATGGATGGGGTGGGGAGGGGAGGGGAAGGGAGAAATGAAAAACCTAGAATGAGAAAGAGCACCAAAATTAGACACGACGAACGCACAGCTCTGGCAGCCTTCTCTCCAGTGTCACTCAGGTCAGGTCCCGGCCGGGGGCCCGCGAACGCCCCCCTGCACTGCGGGCCGCACTCGGAACGCCGAGGACAACACTCGCCTTGTTTCAGTCACCTGGACATGTCCTTAATTCCCAGGGTGCAGAGAGCGTGACAAAAATACATCCACTAAATGCAAAACTGCTTTTTACACAAGGCAGATGGATTCTACTTCCTCTCACAAGTGAGCACAAAGGTGCCGCCGGCGGGACCGGACCCGCTCGCCGCCGTCCCGTCCAGCCCGGTCCCCTCCGCCGTCCAGTCCCGTCCCCTCCGCCGTCCAGTCCCGTCCCCTCCGCCGTCCCCGCCTCCTCCTCCCAAGGCCCATCTGCAAAGCCGCGGGCCGCAGCAGCCGGCGGGGCCGCAGGAACCCCCGCCCCAAGCTCCCTCCCCGGGAACAAAGAGCAGCGGCTTCCTCCGACCCCGGCCGCCCGGAGAGCGCTTCCGCCCGCGGCCTCCCCACGGCTGCGGCTCGACCGGCACAGCCCGGCTCTTTGTTCTCGGGCAGGAAGGCCCGCGGCCCGCCCGCCGCCAACAAGCCGGCGCCCTCCGGCCCCGTAAGTCCCCTCCGCCGACCGCCGCCGCTCCGGTTCCCCGTCGGCCGACACGAGCGACGCACGAGCCCACCTCACCCCCTTCCGGCCGCAGCCGGGACCCCGAGGGGAGACGCTTCCTCCCAACCCCCCAAGGGCAGGCCGGCCGCGTCCCCGCCGGCACCGAGCCGCCCCTTCTACCTCCGCCCGCTGGAGGCCCGCTCCCGACTCCTGCGCGCCGGCTGGTCCCGC